AAGGAAAAAAAAAAATCGCACCCAGGTGCCACTAGCAAAAAAAAGAAAAAATTGCACCCGTGCGTTTTCCTTTGCATGCAGTGCATGACTGCGGGCCCGGAACCAATAATTCTCCATAATAATAAATTGAGTGGAAGAATTAAACTGATAGACGGTAGGACAACTTTCTATTCAGCCATAACAAGTGCTCTCCAAAACAGCCTCGGATGAAGTCTTGGTATAAATTTTGAGTGTTTTTACTATTTTTAGTTCACTGCTGGTCTCTGTATTCAATATTGAGTTCTGTTCTACGTATCTGGACAAGGTGACGGCTGACGGGCTTGACGCTTGTGCGCTCGACTGATGAGGGTCAGGGCACACTCACACGACGATTTTTCACGTATTTCTGGGCGGAATTGCGCTCAGATACATCCAGGTGCGGGCGTAATTGCAGTCAGATACATTTAAGATAGTGCTAGTGTAAGTATGCTCTCAGTCTGGCTGATTGTTCAATTCTGTTAAGGGAAATCTGAAAATCAAACTGTTTTCAGGATGTGCTGAGGTCCTCTCGACAGAAGTTGGCCGATGCTGCTCAGGGGTACGTGGACATTGTTGCTGCCATGCGTGAGGTCATGAGCATTTGTCAACAGCTTATACAACTGCCAGTTGATGGAGTACCAGCAGACAAAGTAAGTCTCTCTCTCTCTCTCTCTCTCTCTCTCTCTCTCTCTCTCTCTCTCTCTCTCTCTCTCTCTCTCTCTCTCTCTCTCTCTCTGTGTTTGTGTCTGTGTCTGTGTTTCTCTCTCTCTCTCTCTCTCTCTCTCTTTCTCTCTCTCTCTCTCTCTCCACCCAGGAGTTCCCAGTGTACGAGTAATAGAGTATGACCTCATTTGGGAAAACATCAGCCAGGTGGGAGTTTAAGTTATATGAAGGCATATTTGCAATTGGACTTTTGTGACTGATTTCTGGACGTACTTGCAGCCCGATACATCCAGGTACTGCCATACGCATCTTGGGGAGTCCTAGCGTGAGTGAGTTATATTGTCACTGATATACTCAGGCACTGATATGCTAAGCTGCTGCGGGTTGCTGGATGTTTACTGCGTGGCGTGTGAACCTTTGGTTCTTAGGGTAAGTCCGAGAGGTCTCAGCGTTCGGCAACAGATGGCGATGACATCCTGTGGGCATCAGCGGCCTCATCCGCGACCTCATCAGCGGCTACAGAATGGGAGGAGAGGTCGACACCCCGCCCTGCATCTCTCGGCAAACAATTATGGAAATCTGCTGGTGCTGCCGATTCCAGCCCTTCAGTGGTTACAGAAGAAGAGGACGGTTTGACGCCCCGCCCCTCATCTCCAGGCAAGAGATTATTGAAATCTGCTGCTGCTGCTGCTTACGCCAGTCGTCTTAGTGCTTCAGCGGGTACAGAAAGTGAGGAGAGTTCGACAGCCCGTCCTGCATCTCGTGGCAAGCGATTATGGAAATATGTTGCTGCTGCGGATATCAGTCCCCGTAGTGCTTCAGCGGTTAGAGAACAAGAGAAGAGTTTGACGCCCCGCTCCGCATCTCCCAGCAAGAGATCATCGAAATCTGCTGGTGCTGCTGCTGCTGCTCCCTCCAGTCCTCGTAGCGTTTCAGCGGCTACAGAAAGGGAGGAGAGTCCAACACACCGTCCTGCATCTCACGGCAAGCGATTATGGAAATCTGTTGCTGCCAGCCCTCGCAGTGCTTCAGGGGTTATAGAACAAGAGAAGAGTTTGTCGCCGCGCTCCGCATCTCGCAGCAAGAGATTATTGAAATCTGCTGCTGCTGCTGCTCCTCCTCCCTCCAGTCCTCGTAGTGTTTCAGCGGCTACAGAAAGGGAGGAGAGTCCAACACACCGTCCTGCATCTCGCCTCAAGCGATTATGGAAATATGTTGCTGCTGCCAATGCCCGCCCTCGCAGTGCTTCAGGGGTTTCAGAACAAGAGAAGAGTTTGTCGCCCCGCTCGGCATCTCCCGGCAAGAAATCGTCGAAATCTGCTTCTGCTACTGCTTACGCCAGTCCTCGTAATGTTTCAGTGGCTACAGAAAGGGAGGAGAGTCCATCATCTCGTGGCAAGCGATTTTGGAAATCTGGTGCTGCTGCCAATGCCAGTCCTCGCAGTGCTTCAGGGGTTATAGAACATGACCAGCGTTCGACCCTGCGCCCGGCATCTCCCGTCAAGAGCTCATCGAAATCTGCTGCTGCTACTGCTTACGCCAGTCCTCGTGGTGTTTCAGATGTCAGAGAACAAGAGGACACTTCGATGCCCCGCCCAACATCTCCCGGCAAGATATCGGGGACATCTGCTGCTGCTTCCAATGCCAGTCCTGGCAGTGCTTCAGCGGTCACAGACGGGGACGAGAGTACAACCCCTCGTCCCGCATCTCGTGGCAAGGGATCAGGAAAATCTGCTCCTGCTGCTGCTGACACTCCTCGCCATGGTGCTCACCCAACGTCTGCTGTCCGTGCGGAACCTGCTACAGGTCCAGCTCCCGGTCCTCCTATTGCTCCTGGAATGGCAGTCGTTGGAGTAGCTGCCGCTCCTCCTGCCAACCCTCGCAGTCCCGGTCCTGCAGCAGGTACCGATGGTGGTCCCACTACCAAATTGAGTCCAGTTCCTGCTCCTGCTGTTCTTCCTCCAATGGCAGTTGGAATTACAGTGACTTCTCCTGCCGCTGCTCCAGCTGATGAATTGCCGGGGCAGTCCTCTGCACATGCAGCAATGGGCGCCGACTCTACCACGGACGCAGAAGAACCATCTCCGGCGAAAAGAGCCGGAAAACGGAATGCAAAACCTTCTTCGGCAAATGAAGATTGTTCTCAGGTTGAAGATTCTGAGCCGCCTTGGGTTTCGTTCGCCAAGGATAAACTGCTCTACATGGCCGACATTCTGGACACGATAATATTCTTCGGTACATTTTATGCTCAAGCGAGTGTGCAGATGATGATGATCAGCGACGTCGACCGCCCGACCTTGCCAATTACCCGCCTCGAGGTCTTCGGGCCCGAGCTGCTGTGCGAGATCCTCAACGACATTATTCTCATGAATCGACAATGCTTAAGGCAACAAGCGGCCATCCAGTCCCGAGACGATCACATCGTGGTAAGTCAATATAATGTCTTGGGAGTCATTTCCGACAATTATGTACCTTTGCCGCTTGGGAAAATAGCGGGCCTCGGGTAGGCGTCCGACCTTTTCAGAGGCCGAAACGAAATGACGGCCGCCAATCAGATTTATCAATGGCAGTCGTCGTCGGGCCCGACCTCCGAAGATTCAGGAGTTTGGGAAAACTGCCAGTTTTCCCTATTTTCCCACGCGGGAAAGGTACTAGTGCTTTAAGGCAACAGGCGGCCAACGATACAGTCTGGTCCACGATCAGAATCAGAAGCAGCATGTCTGCAATAAATTACGCACTCTGAGTCCGACCCACAAAATCCTATCCCCCCCCCCCCCCCCCCCTCCCTCCCCTTACTGCTCCCCAGCCCCTTGTCCATCCCGCTACCCCGGGGCCAAGTCCCACTTAGGCCAAGTCTTCAATTCTGAACGTTGATCTTTGGAATCTACGGTCAGAAATTGAGGATTCGGTTAAGTGGGACTTGGCCCCCGGTCTCGCATTCCAGAACCCCTTCTCTGGCCCACTACTCCATCCTAAGTTCCTAATGCCTTCCCTCCTGCTCCCTTTTTTATTTTTATTTTTTTTATTTGGACCATTTGCAAGGGAAATTAGGAATAACGAAATTCAGAATTGCAGATTGCAAAATTACAATGAAAGCCAGATACTAGTCGAAAGCTGTCCAGAGAGCAGAAATGAGCCAATGCCACAACCAAGGATAACCAAAGCAGCGAAAACTGAATTGTCAATGAAAGCATAATCTCGCCACCACCAACAATGCAATCGAAGCTCTTCCTCCTATTGGCGCTCAGCGCCCAGACTATTATCCTACAGCTATCCTACCAGCCTACGACATGAGAAAGCAACCAGCCGACGTCAGCAGCAGCAACCGAAGTACATGCAGATGTCAACTATGTAGACCCCCGCCAAGACCAGGTACATGCCCTCACATCACTTCCTCATTCGCCCCTCACCCTCGACTTCATCGCCCACGTCTCCCAAAGACCTCCACCATAGTACCCCGCTGAACTTAGTCCAAGCTTGCCCAGCGATGGGGGCCAAGCTATGGCGCTGCCCTCAAGCAGCGCCCTCTTCTTCTCGCGACCGCCCTCACGTTCTTTCACGTCCAGTGCTAGCAGGCAGGCGCGAGCTCACACTCCAGCAGCGCTGCCGCTTGCACTCGCAAGTGCCCGAATGCTCCGTTCGTACCCTGGCCCTTTCCTACCTGGAAAGTGGCAGGACTCATTGGCTGCTGGCCTGGGACGTGCGCGCACCCAGTAGCTTCACTTCCGGCCGAAGTGTCTGCGCCCAGCCAGGTTTTCGACAATTTTGCATCGCCACGCAGACTTTCGAAGAAGTGCGGCTCAAAAAACTTTCGACAGGTGTCAGAATGGTCCTTTCGACAGCCGCCCTCCAGCAACCGTTTCCACTGCAGCCTGCAGGTGACGGAAATCCGACAGTGGCCCGCCTACCTTTCGAAAATTGCGTTCGAATTTGCGTTGTCAGGGACTGTTCCGTCAACTTCCGCGAAACCCGTCCGCCTGGCCATGACCAAAAACCTTGCCCCTCGACAGCCTGTGTGGCGAAGGGGGGGAAATTGTCGACCACCCGACTGTCGAAAATTTTCTGACGCCTGTCGAAAATTTTCGACATTCGACAGCCTGTGTGGCGAGCCTCAAAGTCATGTTTTCGACAGTGGTGTGGTGAGCGCCCCTGAGTGATGTGGACTATTTTTTGTGTACGGTCCCTCTCCTTTTATGGCATCATGCGTCTCATGAATGAATGGTTGTTGGCATTGGTTTATGGCCATAAACGAAAGCCAACAACGATTTATTTACTCACTGTTTTTTTTTTTTTTTTTTTTTTTTTTTTTTGAATGAATGGTTCTTGGCATTGGTTTATGGCCACAACGTGTCCTCGTCTTCTGAATGAATGGTTCCTGTCATTGGTTTATGGGTACCAATGACAAGAACCATTGGTTTATGGCCATAAACCAATGCCTTTAATTCACACTTGTGAATTCCTAGGCGTGAATTACTCACATCCGTGGTTTGTTTTGTGTGTCGTGTTTTCTTTTTTTTTTTTTCTTTTTTTTGGGTTTAAAATCCACATGTGATTGTGACAGAAACTCGAAGAGACGATCAGTCTGCTGAAATTCGCTCTGGAGGAAATGGGCATCCAATTCAAGGAAGGGGAGGACATACCTTTCAGTGCAATCGAGTGATTTGGGGCCTCGCCACACTACTCGCCAAATTTACAAAACGAGAATGAATATTCCGCTAGAACATGGAAAGATCCACCCGCATCATTTTTGTCTTTCGCGCATTTGGTGAGTAGGGCGGCGAGGCCTGTGGTTGTTTGTCCCTTTCTCCGCTCTTTTGCTTTTTTTTTTGGTCTGTCCTTCACTTGTTTGGCTGATCATGGGCCACATGTACGTAAAAGAAAGCCTTTTTTTTTGGGGGGGG